GCCTGGACGAGCCCCCGGCGGTGAGCCCGCGCCCCGGGGCCCCCCTCCAGGGCTGCTGCCCCGCTGAAAAGCTTTCCATGCCTTTCTCAAGGAAAAAGGCTAAGTCAAATGTTTGAGGGCAAAAAAGGGCTCGCTGGCTTTTTATTCCCGCACTTAGCCTCTCCCAGCACTGCCCATGCACCCAGTGCCCTTAAGGTAGAGGCCGAGCCCGGTGGCATTTCTGTCACTGCCACTACAGATAAAAGTCCTCTTTGCCCCAAGCAGGGGGAGGGGACTGCTCTGCAAACTGTTTTTTGTTGTTTTTTTTTTTTTTGAAGAGAAAGCAAAAGCAAAGGGAGCGCTGGAATCAATGCTCAAGGAGCGTCTCTCCCTCCCTCCCTCTCCCTGCAGGATGTTAACAGTTTATTAAACTGGTAAAGGAGAACGAACTCTGTCGATGGGTACCCTGCTTCCAATAAAAAATGTTTACATCTATGATAAACATCTAACATGGGGGGACATAGATTGTCCTTATTTCATTTGTATTTCAGAATCAAGGGAAACTGCAACGACATAAGAACTGAATTGAAAGACTCCAATAATACTAATATATATTGTGTATCTATTTCTATATAATGGGTTTACATTTATATAGAATAAATGCATATAACATAGTATAATGCAGTGAAACAGAATTAACCATCAATTCTATCCAAGGGGAATTGGCCTCCATAGCGTAAGAAATTTGAACTGTATCAAGTAACTCCTGGCCGGATAGATTGTAGCACAGCCTGAGGACACAGAACACATTACAAGTGTTTTTGCATCGTATAGTTGTTTTCCTTAGTATGCCATTACTATTAGTTGAGATAATGATTATGTTCTTTCGTAACGGTTGGTTAAGCTTCTGCAAAGATGTGTGTCACAAAATAATCAGGAGTATGTAAGATTAACTAAACAGGGTACATAAAGATTAAGATCTCTCAAAAGGCAGGTATGTTCCTCAAGTGGGTGTCCTACGCAGAGGGGCCATGATGTGTATTACGGGATTATTGCTAACAGCCTGCGTACGTATTAGATTTGCCTGTCTGCTGTTATCTTATGGCTCTCAAGTAGTAATATTTCTGCGCATGTAACTGCAATAGGTATTTAGCTTATTGTTTTATACTTTTCTGTGGGGCTCTGAGCAATAAACAGCAGAAACCCCGCAGCCAGCCGAAGGAGCTGAGATGCGTGGCCTGCCGAAGAGCAAAAAAAGGCCAGCCGTGACCCACAGGCGCGCGTGGCGCGCTCACTGGACGCGGAGGGCCACGAAGGAACGAAATACGTCCCCCGTCGCCGAGCTCGTGGGATAGTTTTCTTCAGCTGCGAGACTGCTGAACTTGGTGCTGCACGTTTTAACAGTCATTTAGCAATTACAGTACTTTTGTACTACTTGTACTTTGTTTCAGTTTCTTTTCTGAACTGCGTGAAGCACTTAACGGACCAGGCGATGGCCATGTATCACAACAAGGGGATACCGCCTGCCCTCAGCCCTCCACCAGCCCTCACGAGGCAGCACCAGATGGGCAAGAGCGAATGCCTCCAAGACGATCCCTCACTCGGCCCCGATGAGGAGCCTTGAGTCGCAGGAGCCTGGCTGGACTTGCGATCGCCCGTGACTTGCAGGCTATCAAAAGCGGGGACTTGTAACTGCGCAACCCCGTAAGATGGTAGTGCTGTTGCGGGTAACAGGCCATAAGCTTTGTACTGAGTTTGCAAGGCCTCAGGACTGAGACTTGCCAGGCTTGCTCTGCTTGAACTTTTCTTGACCCACCTGCAGCTTTGTTTTAAACCTGGTTTAGCTGTGACAGCAGCTTCTCTAACTGACCGAGTGTCTTCTATGGCTAATTTGTTTTCCTTTTGTTTATCTTTACGCAGTACATCCGCAGTTTTATACCGACGGCCGTTAACAGGCAGTTTACCCCGTGCCGAATGAGACAGTTACAGCTCTGCCACAATGACGCAGCGTGGAGAAATACAGGCCGGCTACGACAGCAGAGACCTCTGGAGGAAAAGGTGTCGAAGCGTAGTAGCGAGCGAGCGTACAAAAACGACCCCGAACAGATGCTTGGAGCAAGGAAGAAGACTCCAGCAACGCGAAAGTCATAGTGGCCTCGCAGCTCCGTCGCAGAGCTGCGACCTCGGCGCCGCCCCTCACGCCCGGACACCCTTCAGCCTGCC